AAAGAGCCCCACCTGGAAACCTCAAGGGGCCTGGGGGAACCCCCATGGGCCACAGCACTGTGGACACCTCTGCCCCACCCAGCCGGCTGGCAGGAATTTGCCCTGGTGACCTCCCCCAGGCACACTCCTGTCACTATGGAGACAGGCTGCGGAACAAGCGGCTTGATTGTCCCTGCTCAGCGGGGCAGGTGAAACCCTGGCCACGTGACCGATACTGGGCCAGGTGCGGTTATGGAACAGAAGCCACCTCCCACCTTAACCCATTCAACACCGCCACCACCACCCGGGTGCAGTGTCCCTGCTGCTTCAAGCCACACCCCTTTGGCCCTTGGTCCCCAACCACAATAGCAGTGATGAAATACAGCAGCATTGCACTAGGGTCAGTGGAGGGCAGATTCCAGGAAGGAATCGGACTGGGCCACCCACTGGCTGAGTGACCCACTGGCTGGGTGACATAGAGCTGGGTCAGTTTGCCTCCTCCCTTTCCTTGGGGGAATGGATGACCCAGGAAGGCTGGGATGACCAGGAACAAGGATGTGAAAATGTACTCTCTAGCCCACTGGCCTGACACTCCCACCTGAGAGAGGGAGACCCTCACCAACCCACAGCGGGCCTGCAATAAACTGGGGAGGGCGGGTGGGCAGCCATGGGCCTTCCTCAATAGCAATGGGTCCCTTACAGGCAGCTGCCACCTGCCCACCACTTTCTCTGGAATGTTCACACCGACACCTCAAACCAACAGGTTTTTCTGCTTACCAGGCCCAACCTTGACCAGCTGGGTGACAGGGCTGGGCTGGGGGCTAGGGACTGAGTACAGGCTTCAAGGCGGCGGTGCCCCAACTCCCAACTCTTTGGCTCCAGAGCGGGAGGTCAAAGGTCATGGGACAAGCTCAGGTTACAAGGCTAGACAGTAGGGAGGGGGTAGTGTTTGCAAACACCTTTGAAATACTACCTTTCTGAACCAGTAGCCTCCATTTCCTGCTTCCCCAGCTCTAGAAAAGCACCCTTGGATGACCCCTCCCAGGCCTAGGACCAGCCCCATCCAGGACTCAGGTGTCCCCATCACACCCCTAATAAACTAAGCTGGCAGCAAAAGAGCACACCACCTGGTGTTCTAGAGTCCCCAGTGACCCAGGGCCCTCCTCAGATTAGAACAGAACACCTGCTGAGAGCCCCAGGCAAGGAGAGGGCACCTGGGAGTGCCCAAAGGAGGTGGGGGAGCACAGGTGTGCCACTAGGGGCCCAGGGGTCATGGTCTGGAGGGAGCAATGGCCTGGCTACCTACTGAAGCTCCGCATAAGCACTTGCAGGTGCTCTTGAACCCCTTGATGATCATTCAGCAAAATTACTATTACACCTTGGACACGGGAAACTGGCCTAGGGCAGACACAGGAAAGGCCAGCTCTAGAGGACTGTGCAGGAGTTTGACAAATGCTTTGAGGACACAGGGTAGAAAGGATTCATCTCAACTCAGGAAATCTGGGAAGAATTGAGGAGGAGGTGGCAGTTATCCTGGGCCCTGAAAGATGGGCAGGATTCTGGAAGGCCAACATAGCCCCAGAAAAGGGAATGCAGGAAAGATCTCACTGGGGGAGCCTGAGAGTGCTTTGATTTAAACTCCTAACTTTAAGGACAGAGAGTCCCTGAAGGCTTCTAAGCAGAAGGACCCCTTGATGACACCAACTGGGAAAGAAAAAAAATCAAAACCATTAAAGGATGGGCTGCAGGGGAGGCCAGCTGAGACCTGAAGCAACCTAGCCCAAACTGGGAGAGACCAGGACAGCTAGCTGGGGTTCCCAAACGAAGTGGTTTCCATGCAAGATGAGCTAAGTTCTGAGGGTGGAAAGATGAGGCTTGCCTGTTACTCTGCTACTAAATGGCAGGGTGCCGATCTGTCCAGCAAATGATCGCCATAGTGCAAACACCTGGCTGGGATTTGACCTTAGTCTAGGTCCTGACTCGCATCAGGAAAGGGACCAGACCGAAATTCTGGTGGTTTCTTGCACAAGTCTTTTACCCTCTCTGCGCTTCAATTTTCTCGTCTGTGAAGAGCCCACAGGGGTTGAAGATGATCTCTAGAGCTCCTCCTTGCTCTTTCTAGAGGGGACTTCAGGACGCATAAAGTGCTCCCGTACCGTCGAACCCCAGCTGTGGAGCATGGCGCCACCAAGCTGGCGCCCGGACGACAGGAGCCACTCCTGGCGCCTCTCACCCCCGCGCTGGCGGCACAGAAAGAATGGCACCCACCCAGTGCGGTGCGTGAGGACAGATGAAGAGGCCAGGTGGGGACCGGGCGCCGGCCAAGGCAGAGCCTCTCTGGCTTGCCAAGGACCCGCCCCGCGGCCGCGCAAGCTCGCGCTCTGAACTGGGGCCGTGTGCAGCAGCGCGAACCGGATTCCCAGATCGCTGTGCCACCTGCGTAGAGCAGTGCACGAAGGGGCGGGACGGGGCGGGGCCAGAGTCTCGGATGGCTCCGCCCGGGGCGTGGCCAGGGGCACGGCCGAGCGCAGCCTGCCGAGATTACGTAGAGACGCTGGAGCGGGGCCAGGGGGCGGACTGGTCTCTGGGATTACGTAAGGGGACACAACCAGGGGGCGGGGACTCAATGGACTCTTTGTGGGCGGGGAGACGGGCGGGGCTCCAGACAGAAATGGGCAGGGCTCTGCGCGAAGGCAGGAGGCGGAGCGTGGGCAGCGGCCTTTGCGAGGTGCACGCTGGGTAGTGGCCAGCATGCTCTGCTGGGCCCGAACCTGCAGGCTTCATCGTGGAGCGCTCAGTCCCTCCACTCCCAGCTTCTCGAGGGTGCCCGTCGCACGCAGCAGCAGCAACGACCAAAGGGAGGGCAAGCCGAGGTCAGTCTATGACACTGGGAAGGTGGTGCCCACTGCTCCTCCTCCCGCCCAGCCCCGATGGCCGTTAAAGGCCCCTCCTCCCCCCATTGGACCCACCCCCTCCCCGTCTCACCTTCTGCAACCCTTCCCGCCTCCCCCAACTCAGACCCTCCCCCCATCGTCCCCGCAGGCCGCTACCGCTGTCCTACAGGCTTCTGGACGGGGAGACGACCCTCCCAGCCATAGTCATTCTGCATGGGCTTTTCGGCAGCAAAAACAACTTCAACTCCATTGCCAAGGCTTTGGCCCAGCAGACAGGCCGGAGGGTGACCTTCCGGGCGGGGCGGGGCCTAGAAGTGGGGCGGGACCAGTTTCTAACCCTCACTTCTGGGGCCCTGGTTGAGGAGTGGCAGTTTTCTGGACACAGTAACCCTGAAACAGAAATGGAAGAAGTCCTTCCAAGGATGTTCGCTGTTCCGGCGAACCCAGGCCCTGGAGGGACTCCCCTTTCCTATTCCCTCATGCTGCCACCTGTCCATCCTTCGTTCATGTTTTAGATCTCCACTGGCCTGCTCCACACTGAGCTAAGACCAACACCCTCCCTTTGAAAGTCCCTGCTTGTTCACCAGGAACGGCAGGGAGCTCACCACCTCTTAATGTTCCTCTGTTGGAAATTCTTGGAGTCTCCTTCTGGGCTTATTCCGGGGCTACACCTAGCCAGCCCATTCCTTCAGAGACGTGGTCACACCCCTTGGGCCTTCTCTTTTCTAGCAGAGCGTCCCCAGTTCTCCATCTGGACCTCCTGGGTCTGGGCATTGGGCTCTCTCACAATCTGAGCCCTTCCCCGTCATCAAGGTCTGTCCCCAGACTCACCCACCTTGATCTGCAGTCCCTATTGGGATACCGGTGCTGCCCCATCTCCCCAGGTGCTGACAGTAGATGCTCGGAACCATGGTGACAGCCCCCACAGCCCAGATGCGAGCTACAAGGCCATGTGCCAGGACCTGCAGAACCTCCTGCCTCAGCTGGGCCTGGCACCTTGTGCCCTCATTGGCCACAGTATGGGAGGAAAGACAGCCATGCTGCTGGCGCTCCAGAGGGTGAGCCGCCCCTGTCTGGGGCCACCTCCCATTCAACTTAGACCCTAGATGCCCAGCAGGTAACCTGGGACTCATAAGCCTTAGAAGGCCAAGTTTGGGCTCCAGGAACTGGGCCTGCTCTGAGACTGGTCCCCAGTCCAATTATCTCCCACAGCCAGAGCTGGTGGAACGGCTGATTGCAGTGGACATCAGCCCAGTGAAGACCACAGGCACCTCAAAGTTTGCGACCTACGTGGCTGCCATGAAGTCCATAGACATCCCAGATAAGATGCCCCTCTCCCAGGCTCGAAAACTGGCCGATAAGCAACTCAGCCATGTCATCCAGGTAATGCACCCAAGCTCCCTGATGGTACTGTATATAGACTAGGACCTGTCAAGGGCAGAGTGGTGGCCTCACAGGGAGCCACCCACCCGCACTCAACTTCAGACCCCCACAGGACCTGGCCATGCGGCAGTACCTGCTCACCAACCTGGTGGAGGTAGATGGGCACTTCCAATGGAGAATGAACTTGGATGTCCTGGCTGAGCACTTGGATGAGATTATGAACTTCCCACCACAACAGGAACCCTATTCTGGGCCATCTCTCTTCCTCCTTGGTGGAAGTTCCCATTATGTGTGGTAAGCCAGCCCCGGCTACAGGAGGGCCACACCTTACTCCCTTAGCCCCCCAGCCTGGGAAGGACTGGGGTGTGGGCACAGGGTACCTGAGAGCCTGGAAACCACTGGGCATGTGGACTCAGGTGGCTCTCCCTCTCTCCCCACCCTACCCCTGTTTGTCCCTTTCTATCCCCATTTACTCCTTCTCAATGGCTGCCCCTGTGATGCCCAGTCCCAGTCACCACCCTGAGATTAGGCGACTCTTTCCTGGCGCCCGGATACAGACTGTGCCTAACGCCAACCACTGGGTTCATGCTGACCGCCCCCAGGACTTCATGGCTGCTGTCCAAAGCTTCTTGGGCTAAGAGGTGCTGCCTGCAAGAGGAGCAGAAGGTCCCAGGCTTCGTGTCCTTGCAGCCTGTTCACGTTGCCACACAGGACTCGGGCACGTACTGAGAGGGAACGGGGGTGTGCAGTGGCCAGGCCTCTAGGTTTAATGAATAAAGACAATTTCCCAAAATCCTCCAACGAGTTCTCACCACCAGCGCCCCAGTCGGGCCCAGGGGCTCCTGGCAGCACCAGGGTCCCCATGGGCACCCTGAGCGTCCCTGGCTTCTCTCTCCAGCTGACTCTGGACCTGCTGCCTCACCAGCTGCTGCATGTCCTCCTGGGGCAGGAGAGCAGGTTCAGGGCTGGTGCTGGACCAGTTCCCCACACCGCCCAGGCCCACCTGGCACCCCCACCTACCTCCCAGGCTTCCACCTCCTGCCTCAGCCTCAGTTTCTCCTCCAGGACCTCCAGCAGCTGGGCCTCCACCGCACGCAGCCTGGCCTTGCATGTGTCCAACTCGGCCTCCACTGCCCGCTTCCTGCAGGTCGCAGGGACCGCAGCCTGAGGCTCTGGGCCCTGACAGTGGGCAAATGTGACCACAGCCCCAGCCTTAGCCACACTGTGGGTGTTCTAGTGGCTTCTTTCCAGGATCGCCTGACTCCCCCGCCCCCCCTAAGCAGAGGCTTGAGGATGGCCCTGTCCCTGCCCACTCAGCAGGGGCCCTGAATGTGGCCCTCTCCCCACCCACCCCAGTCCCCACAGCTGTCCTCACTTGGCGATGGCTTCATCCCGCTCCTGCAGGACCTGGTCCAGGGAAGGCTCTGTCTGGATGGCCCCCAGTGCTCCAGCCGCTGGAGATTCTGGGCTCTGTTGTAGGGGACAGAGGAGGGGACCATGATCTGGGGCTCCGCTAAATGAGGTGTCCCACCCTGGAATTTTCTACCCTGGCCTTGACCATGACGCTAGTGTCAGGAGGGGAGGAAGCTGAGGTGCCCTGTACCGGCTTCAAGCACCCTGGCTTGTGGCTGCTGGGAAGTAGAGCACGGACCCGAGAGGGCGGCAGGTGACACTGCTGCTTGGTCTCAGAGCCAGCAGAATGGGCAGGGTGTTTGAGCCTCCGGGGACGGGAGTCCTTACCCCCTCCTCAGGAAAGGAGAAGGTAAGTGGGTTTAGGACACTTACCCCTTGAGAGTCCTGGACAGAAAGAGTGGCCGGGTGACGGGGACTCTTGTCGGCAGGGTGGGGCAAAGAAAGGACATGGCCCTTGCCCTCCCTTCCAGGCAAGGCACTCCCTGGCAGGCGGGCCCCAGTGGGCAGGCCCCAGCAGGCGGGCCCAGGGCAAGGAGCATAGGGCCCCTCCCTCCTATCCTGCATCCTGCCCAGTCCCTCTGCCAGTGCCTTCCTGCCCAGTCACAGGCCTCCTTTCTACTGCCTCTTGTGATGACAGGGTCAGCAAGATGCTGCAGCCCCCCACACCCCCATGAAGGTCCTGTCACCTTGACATCTGGAATGGCATCGCTTCCACACAGCTCTGATCTCACCTCACAGGAAATAAGGAAAAAAGTTTTATTTGTGGCAGATGTCTCCAGACTAACAGTCCCTTGATATGTTGCTGAGGCTGACTGTGGATTTGCGATCCTCCTGCCTTGGCTTCTTGAGTCGATGGGATTTCGGATGGCACCCAGCCCTCTAGACAACTTGACTGTCCCTCCTCCCTCCATGCGTTGCTACATTCTAGGGAGCAGGTCTCAGGACCCCACATCACCTTCAGTGACAGTCTCTCTCTATGGGCACATGGAGTGACAAAACTCATAAGGAGACTCATCCCCACTGAGAGACCTTTGCAGTAAGATTGCGTCTTGGGGACTGTATTTCCGACTCAGCCCAAGCAGTAAATGCTTCCTCTAAGACCCTCTGTGATTCCTGATCTCTGGTCCTGCCCAGTGGGGGTTGCTTCAATGGCCAGTCTCAAGTGATTTTTGTGACTGGACCCCAGGTCAAGAGGTAGGCTTGGGCTGTACCCTGAGTATGGCTCTGCCATGAGCAGACAGGCCCTGCTCCCAGGGTGCTCCAGGGCTAGGAAGGATGAAGCTCAGGCATGGTGGTAAGAGAGAAGAGAGTGGCAGTGGTCCCCGGGTGGGAGCACAGAGACAGCCCCTCAGACCCATCAGCCACAGGTATTCCTGAGGAGTTTGTCCAAGGTGAATCTTGCAGGCTGTCTGTCAGATCCAGGACAAGGGCTAACATTCGCCAACATTTAAACTTTTATTTTGAAACAATTTCAAATTGCTGTTTGATGTTAAAAAGAAAAAAATCTTTTGCAGTTAAATATTCTATTATGGTATCAAACGTTATGGCCTGATTGTACATCTTGCTGGTCTCCCTCAATCAAGAACAATTTGCAGTCTTTGAGTTTCATGACCTTGACATGTTTGTAGTTTGCAGGGAAGTTATTTTGTAGATAGTCCTTCATTGGTCTTGCTCCGATCCTCCCTCTGATTGGACCACTGTTGTGCATTTAATGAATGCTGCGTTCTATCCAACGTCGACTGGAAACATGACTGGGGGTGTTAATGTGGGCCAGTTGATTAAGAAGCATAAAAAAGTGGCTCACACCTGAAATCCCAGTGGCTTGGGAAGTTGAGGCCGGAGGATTGTGAGTTCAAAGCCAGTCTCAGCAACTCAGTGAGACCCTGTCTTTAAATAAAGTATATAAAAAAAGGGTGGGGATGTGGCTCAGTAGTTAAGTGTCCCTGGGTTCAATCCCTGGTTCCAAAAAAAAAAAACAAACAAGCTGGGCATGGTGGTGCATGCCTATGATCTCAGCAGCTCAGGAGGCTGAGGCAGAAGGATCACAAGTTTGAGGTCAGCCTCTGCAACTTAGTGAGGCCTGAAGCAACTTAGCAAGATGCTGTCTCAAAATAAAATGTAAAAAGGGCTGGGGACGTGGCTCAGTATTTAAGCACCCCTGAGTTCTGTCCCTCGTACCAAAGACAGACGGAAAGAAATGAACAAGTACATATAAGAACTGCTATGGAGAAAAAGTTGGGCTAGGGATGTGGCTCAAGCGGTAGCGTGCGATCCTTAGCACCACATACAAACAAAGATGTTGTGTCCGCCGATAAATAAATATTAAGATTCTCTCTCAAAAAAAATCTTAAAAAATAAAATAAAAATAAAATTATTTTTAAAAAAAGGAAAAATTGATGGAGAGGGAAGGAATGGGAAGGACCATTTTACATAATTCTGCAGTTACCCTAAGGACATCCCAAATATTCACATACCTAAATGTAAAACAGCCACCTTGATCATGCTCAGGATTTGGGATCTCATTATCAGTAAGTGACGGCATCAATGACGGGTTCAAAAGCGCTGTGTTTCCAAGCAAAAATGACAATGATGGGTTGAGACAACTGTCAAGGGTCCCGGAGGAGGAGGCGCTTGGGATGAGACATGATTCTTTCAATGTCAAGGGGAGGCAGAAATTCAAGGGAAGGGTTTGGAAAAAATCTTTCACAAACCAGGAGAGTGGGAAAGCTTTGTTTCTACATAAAATTCTCCTTTGAAATATAGGACTTTAAATATTTAAATTTTCAATATTTTAGCCACTCATCCTAAGTAGGGATTCAATTATTCATCTCCTTCTCTAAACGTTTAAATTAAAATATGAGGCCAATTCTCTTTTAATCTCCTCATTAGGAAAAAGAAAAGAGATTTATATTCAGGCATAGAGCGAATTTCATCCCAAAGTACTGTCTCAACTGCCTGCATCCCCTGAGTCCTGCTCCCCATAATTGCTTGGCCCGGGCCTCAGGTGGAGGCAGATGGTGGCTCTGGACTAATGGTGGACTGGGGTCTCGGAGAACAAAAGTGGCAGGCAGCTGCCCCTCGGACAGGGGACTGGACTCTGTGCTCAAAACAGCTGGGATTTGCTGGGCTGGTGGTTTATAAATGCTGTCACCCAATCCTTCACATCCTTGTCTGTGGGTCCCTCCCTGAACCTCATTGTCCTTATCTGTAAAATGGGTCTAGTAGGGTGGCCTCCCTGAAAGGGTCACAGTAATGGTTAAATAAGACCCCCACACTGTGACCAGTGCTTTGTACCATAAATGAATCAGGACCAGGAAAGGAGCCCAAGAGAATAGACCTGCAGGACCCAAGAGAGCAACGACAGCACAACCTTAACATCAACAGCAACCAAACACACACACACACACACGCACATACATGCACGCACATGCGTGCAAACACCAGCCACGAAGGGTCAGTTGCCCTTCCTGTTCTCCTCACGACTTTGCCCCAGAAATGTCTGTTCCTGACTCTTTCACAAGTTTCCTGTTCCAGACCTCCAGTCCCTGTACTTCCCCAGCACTGGCTTGTCATTGTCACAGCGTTTTCTCCCATCAGCCGGAGGGCTTCTGGATGAGGTGGTGACCTCATCCCAGCCCCAGCACACAGGTGCAAAGCAGGAGCCGCAGGGAGGAGGCAACACCGATCTTGTCCAGCAGGTGGCAGCAGCCCCCAACATCAGGATCCCAACAGCCTTGGGCTCACCCAGGCCCAAGCCCTGGATGGAAACTTCAAACTGCGCCCAGGGCCTTGGAGAGCCCCCAAAGTCCCAGCCAGGGCTCCTTTATGGGAACACTGCTCATTCAAATGTGCGAATTTTTAACAATACATCTGCAAACACTGGGAATCAGTGAAATATGACCAGGTTCCTGCCCTTCAGTTCCTGAGTCTAAGGAGAGGACAGACACTATCCACACCTGACAGTTAATGCTGTCATTAGGTCTTCATGGGACATGCAGAAGGAGCCCAAACTCATCCTCCTGCTCTCACAGAGGAATGATTGGAGGAGGTGATGTCTAGGGGGAAGGGCTAGGGGTCACAGCCACATGCATGGGGGAGGAAGGACACAGGCTTGGGACACTGACATTGCAAAAACCAAGAAGATGTGTGCCATGGGTTGTAGGGACTGCAGTGGGTGGGCACTGCAGCCAGCTGCTCATGGCGGTAAGGCTGGGCCAGGCCACAGAGGACATGGCAAGTCACGTTGACATACCAGGACCTCCTATTGCCCAGGCAATAAGGAAACCTCACTGCCCAGAACAAATGGGCGTGGACAGCCAGGAGTGGTGGTGCATACTGGGAACTCCAGTGACTCAGGGGTCCAAGGCAGAGGATGATGAAGAGCATGGGCAACTGAGAGAGACCCCGCCTCAAAATAAAAAATTGTTGGAAGGCGGAGGGTGAAGCTCACTTCCACCCAAGTTCCACACACACAAGTGGGAGGCGGAAACAGAAGCCGGTATTGGGGCTTACAGCTGCCCTCTTCACTGCAGTGGGGACAGGACATCGAAGAACAGACAGCAGGGGGACAGGGGTGTGGCATGGGGTCTGGTCCCCAGGGAGAATGAGCCCCTCTCTCACAATCCCTGCCTTGGTTACCCCCTGGAGTACCCTTCCCCATCCCCCACCCGGCCACTTTCAGTCCAAATACCCCAGTGTCCCAGATTCCAGGAGGTCGGCTGCCCTGGGGGACCCATGGCATCTTCCACACAGGGTCTAACTCAGCCCAGGCCCTTTTTCTGGCTCCTCTGTCTCCATCCATCCATTGTCTGTCAGGAAACATTCCAGGTAGAGCATTCTTACACACACACACACACAAACACACGCGCACACGTGAACACATGCACACACGCACTCCCTGGACAGTGGCCTATAACTTCCACCTCCACCTGAGCGAGACTATTCCTGACTCCGAGCCTCCAGCCCCTGCTGGGACCCCACATGGGCCATCTGGGCGACCCCCCTGCACGTTGAAGCAGACCCCTTGAACACCAGATGTCCTCATCTGAAGTCACCTCCTTCCCATTCATTTTGGAGGCTAGTCCTATTGGCGCCACCTTTCCCAGGTACCTGGAATATGACCGTTTCTCACCTCCACCACCACCATGGCCCTGGGCCAGCACTGTCACCTTGCGCCTAGCAGGTGCCCCTGCTTCTGCCCTCAACCTCCATCTGTCCCTTTTCAACCCAGAGCCAGGCTGTTAAAGTCAAGAGAGGGTTACATGCCTCCTCACTCAGAAGCCCCCTGTGGTCCCCATGCCTCTTGGACAAGCCTTCCATGACCTGCCCCTCCCTCAATTGCTCCACCCCTTCTAGGCTTGTCCTTGCCCCCTGTGGTCCAGCCAGGACCAGGCCTCCTGGCCTCCTGGTTCTTACCCAGGTGTGCCAGGCAAGCTCAGTCCTCACAGGAGCTATTCCCTCCACCCAAAGTGCCCCTCCATACATGGCTCACTCCTACCCCCTTCTCAATTTCTGCACACGCAAGGGCCTACCTGACCATCGAATTTAAAATTCCCCTCCCCAGCCCCAGCAGTCTCTATTCCTTGTTCCCTACTTTATCTTCCCTATAACACATTATCGTCACTGTGATGTTATAGACCAAGGACTCCACAAGGGCAAGGACTTTTGTCTGGCTTGTTTTCTCCCCTATCCCCAGAATCTAGAGTAGCTAGCCCAGAGTAGATGCTCAATAAATACCTTTCAAACAAA